AGAAGATAGTTCAGATTGCAAAACACACCGGAAGATGCAAATGGATTTTCGAAGGTCATGTATATGCTTTACTCTTTTTAACTTCTCATCATAAATATAGATTCCTTCTACCTATTGTCTTCTATTACAATTCTTGATAATTCATCCAGTTTATTAATAAGAGAACATTTCGTTTACGTATATATGTATAAGAATATTCACAGGGGAAAGTTGATTAATTGTAGAATGTTGACTACTTGTGTTAATTTAATTCACTTATTTATTTTCACTCTAAAGAAGTAGATTACACTACGCTATAAGCTCGAATGTCTGTTCATTGGGATAGTATCGATAAGACTATATTATACCAAGGACTTTCAGTGAACCAAATCAGAATTAAAGCTAGCGTTTCTAGGTTTATATATAATTTTTCAAACGCAGTCGCAGATAACCTGTTACTTGTACAGATAATGTTGTTAAGACTACACATTAAGGCCGGTTTAGAAGGCGATTCAATAGTACAGCACTTGCAGGTGATCTATCTTCTGAGAAACTGTTTTATTTGATTGTGGTCAGGAAATGAGATGTCTGGAGATTGAAGACTCAAGGGACGAGATTATTTTACGCTGCAGAGGATGCTGGTCGAAGAAATCTATAGACCATGGTACATTCTTTGGTGAGTCAAATCTGTCACTAGAAAATAATGGTTTTAATGTTTAAATGGATGATCGGAACCCAAGTCACGACTGCTTCAGCTCTAGCAGATATAGCTCGTGTTTTTGCAGTGTAGTGGTAACAATACTGTATAGATTTAAGGTCTAGGAGTTCTAGAGTTTGGAAGTTTTCAGATTCATTAATCGTATCAATGCTCCTAAATCTCGGTGATTTTGACATTCCTTTGCATTTAGCTGGATTCGGACTGGTTGTTTTTCAAGACCATCCCTAAAGTCGCTAAAGGTCGTCGGTATTGCATAGTTTTGCCATTGTATCAAAAATACATAATTGTTTCATTATTATTATTATCATCACTCTTACCATTGCTGCTATTATTATTATTATTACTGTTGTCTCTTATCACTTACACAATATTGATTTTACTAGATCCATCTGATCCTGATCTTCTCTACCTACTTTTGCGATCATTACAAAATACAAAAACTGTTGCCATGTGTAATATTTATATTGTAATGAATAATCAATTAGCTCAGTCAATCAATTCAAGTACAGTTTCAGTGTTGGATTCACACAATTCATCTAAACGTAATCTTCAACAACAACAGTCTGGTAAAAATTCACCGAACCATACTCTTTGGAGTCATGGTTATTTGCATCATATTGATATGAAGCAATCAATTTTAATGTTGTCAGTATTTGAACGAGGTTTGTTGTTGTTATTAATCCAAATAATTTGATAATATTTTGATACATCTAATATTTAAACTCTTCGACATTGATCGACTTTTTAACCTCTTCACAGTCCTCAAAAGGTTTCTACATATAGATTTCAAGCAGAGATCTGAATACATAAAGGTTGAGACTATAATTTACGAACGACCGAAGTGACCTTGGGAAAATTCACTAACCCACTACGGTCTTAAGTGGGTTATAAAAAGTAGTGTGAGAAATCAGAATCGGCATTTCTAGTTCGAAGTTAGTGTTAGGAATCGGAGTTACGGTCTTCATCACGAACTGACATAAACTAAAATACTATTTAACCTTATGAATGAATGAATTAGTCACTGCTCAGTGTTCAATCATTTTAAATACATCATAGATCAGTCGTGGCCCAGAGTCGAGTAGTAACGTATGTGACTGTAAAGTTGGGTGATACGGGATCGAATCCATCAGGAAACACTAGTTCTCTCAGGATTACAAGCACACCTTGGCATCACGTCTCAGATAGTACAAAACCTAGGTCAAGTAGGGTATTTTGTCGACTACCTCCAATCTCCACTTTAATTCAGTCATGTATATTGCAGAATGTTATCAAACTAAACGATTGTTGCTGTGAATGGGAAATCGTAGCGAAATAATCATTATAAGGAAAATCCAACATAAATCAAACAACTAGATACAATTGATATACACTTAAAGTTAATGCATATAAATCACGAAAATGCGTTGAAAGTTGACTAGACAAAAATCAACTTAAATCAATATATGAAATAACAAATGTATATCCCCCAGCAATTAATTGATCCTTTTTTGTTTTTGAACTGTTTCATTTCCCAATGGCATTTTTTATTTATTTCAGAATGTACTGGTTTACCTTGGCTTGGTAATTTTAGTCATTTAGCACCTGTAACAGATTTTGCCGGTTCTCAATTATACGATGATAAAAATGAAACTTCACCATTCCCTGTTCGAACACCGGATCATTTGAGTTATAAAATTGGTACGTGTTTACACTTTTTTTTATTATTCCTCTGGCTTATTTTTCTCTCAATCTGTATTGTGCAATGGCTAATCAGATTTGTGTGATATGAATGTGGACAATTATACATTGGATAGGCTAGGAGTTGACTAACAATCATACATATCTGTCGTACAGATCAATTGTTTAAACACTCGCAAAACTCATTGAACTGGGTTACTATAACATCTACATATACTGTCTTTATTGGCCCAAGATCTGACTCCAGGTAGATTGCTACTTGTTATCGAAGTACATATTCCGCCAATCCTCGTATATAATTATCGACTTAGTGAATAACGGAATTAAGATAAGCCAAACACGAGAATGGAGTTTTGAATACGTATATTTTATACAGCCGTTGATACGAACAGGCAATCAGAAAATCGTAGCGAAGAGGAGAGAGCAGAGCGAAACGAAAGGATGCAGAGTGGAGAGGGCGAGTAAGCCAACTCAATGTAGCCAAGTTTGAATCGGTATTTATAGTCAGACAAAAATAAGCTACAGACATATATTATGAGTAAGATAAGAAAAATACACACATACGCTTACATAAAAACAGTCAAGGTTGATAAGCGAATGAGTGACAGTGAAAATGGGGCTTGAGAAGAGTGAACAGATTGATCTGTCCAGTATAACTTATATGGGCTTGACATAGTATCAGCCCCTTCAGTTAATCTAACTTATAACTGGTGTCCATATTCGATCTGTACACAATTTGGTTCTGTGACATCCTGAAAACCAGTCTGCATAACTTGGTTTAGAATAGTGATTTTTATGACTCGCCCAATGTTAAACTTCTGGAAACTACTTCGAAATTAGGTTCAGTTTGAGCTACGATAATTTCCGATTACGAATAATTAAGATTGTTTTATTACAATGAAATTTATTGCGCTCTTGACAATCCAGCAACTGACATACGTAACATTTTAACAATAATCTGTAAAAGCGGAGACTTAGAAAAAAGTCGAGAGTGAGGAAAATATCTGAAATTCAACAAAGAAATTGAAGTAGAGCAACTCTCTCTTTATCTCTCTCTCTCTCCGAGACAGAAAAATTTGCAAACTAACGGTGTCAACAACCAGTACGAAAAAAAATAAAAATCATAGGGAAATACGGATTATCATATTTTTAAATCACAAACTAATCTACGTTAAACAACCACCGGAAACCTGATAGCCTTGGACGACCGTTCCACCTTAGTATGGAAATTCTCGGATGCGGAGTCGTGGGTGAGGACTGTTGAGTAGTCTTATTCTAGAATGAAACAGCCGTCCAGTGCTTCCCAGTTTTTTAATGGTGATGTCTAGCTAAAATCTATAATCTCCACAAACAACCCTCCTTATACAAATATGGTTTAGAAAAACGTTATTTCAGTTATCGTCACAGGAAATAAATTGATATTTACCAACAAAATATTGAATAACTTGAATTAATTCTAGCTCCTTCATAAATCTTATGACTGAACGCTTGAACGTGTTTCATAAGCTCTTCCAATAACATCAGGCTAAATCCACATGACAAATCGAACACGAAAGAAAAGGCATGAATTGTATAAAAACTCTTTACTCCAAACTTAGTTTACTTACAAAAAATCGTGAGTATTTATAGCACTTAAGATGGCCTTGGGCTTCTGGAAGGTTCTGGAACCCTACTGAACATAATAACAGGATGGGGAATCATCCCATCAGATATGTGACACGTGACTCTTCACTCTCTAGATGTTTCTGAGAAACTTCTATTGGATGTTGATTGGGTAGAATGTTTCCTAGCGTTTTCAGGATCCCTCTAGGCTTTATCCGAGGATCTCCTCAACACTGTTTATCTAACTTTCATTCCTATCACCCATTTCTCATTTAACAGTTTATCTAATTTATAGTGATAGTAATGATTAGGGGGTTCGTTTTTAACTCTTTTTTCTTTTCAAAAAAATGTTTTAATAAAGATGGTTCACGTTATGTTTCTTGGGCATCACAGTCAGCAATGCTTATGGATATTAATAAGGTGCTTCGACTAAGTCGGCGCCTGCCGGATAAATCTGCATTACTTTATAAAGTAAGTAAATTCGTTGTTTTAATTAATTGTGTAGTTTTTTGAAGAATAATTAAGTGAAATCGATCAACCTGCCTGCTGCTAATGATCAATTAGGTGCAATTATTGTGAACTAAGCACATAATTTTGAATTTGATTAGGGTTAATTGAGTTTTGTATAACCATTCAGGTCAGCGCGTCGGTGTACTCAACATTTCGACGAGGAGCGGGGCACAGACTGCAACAAAGAAGAAAGCGGTGATCAGAATGGCTGTCTTTCTCTTCGCCCAGTTTTAGATATGTATAATTCACCTTATCATAAAACTGCAAAGTGGTTAGATCGAATCCTAGATCCCTAACACAAACTAGTCATCAACGGAAGCGTGGAAGACGTGTTCGATTTCATTTCTAAAGTGGAACATATGAACTTAAATAGGAAACAGATGATATCTCTAAATATTGCTTCCCTGTTCACCAATGTACCTTTAATGGAAACTATTGACTTTGTATGCCAACATCTACATGAAAAACAAATTCTGACTGTTCAATCTGATGTTGTTGTTCTTTTTCTTTACAGGAATTAAATCGACTTCGTTTTGCAGCAACTGTTTATGGATGTCCAGAATTGTTATTACAAATTCATTCAATGATTATGTCTATTCATCATCAGTCAAACAATAATAATAATAGTGATAATAATACTGTTGTTACTGGATCCAATGAACAAACTAAATCATTACAAACTTGTTTAAATAATGTAACTGATATATTACTTAAACAGGAATCATATACAAATGATATCTTGTCACCTGATAAAAGGAAACTATTCTAAATAATGAGTTAATGATGAATTATGAATTATTGATTTATTTTTTTAATAATTACATGTACATATATGTAAAAAAGAAATATATATATATATTTTTTTATCAGAAGGGGTTTTGCGGAAATTTAAAAAAATTTCACTAGTTGAAATCATGAGTCAATTGAAGCTAGACCACCATGAAAAACCTGGAAACACTGGGCGGCCGTACTGGGACGAAACGGTCTTCCAGTGCTTCCAGGTTGTCCACGGTGGTCTAGCTTCAATTGACTCATGATTTCAACTAATGAAGTATATATTCTTGCGAACATTTACACTCTTATTCAATTTATATTTAGTATCAGATGGGTTTTGTGGATATTATAGTAATTTCAATGGTTAAGATCATGAGTCAGTTGAAGCTGGACCACCATGGAAAACCTGGAAGCACTGGAAGGCCGTTTCGTCCTATTGTGGGACTCCTCAACATTGCGCACCCTCGACCTCGCCCCCTGCGAGATTCGAACCCAGAAAGTGCTGGTTTCGCGCGCGAGCACTCAACCACTAGGTCATTGAACCGGAATCCAACGGTGTAAATGTCTAACTTCAACCAATCCATGAAATTGAGCGACACATCTACCATTGTCTTCAGTGAGTTGCTATCTCACAACAGACTCAGTTGAATTCCACTGATCACTGCTTCTCAACAGAACTCCAGGAAATACCTCTTGGAGACCATCACTAGTGAGCATATGTTGATTAATACCAGATGGGTTTTGTGGAACCAGTAGGTCCTGGGTTCGAATCTCGCAAGGGGCGAGGTCGTGAATGCGCACTGCTGAGGAGTCCCACAATAGGACGAAACGGCCTTCCAGTATTTCCAGGTTTCCCATGGTGGTCCAGCTTCAACTGACTCATGATCTTAACCATTGAAGTTATATTTAGATTTGTGAATCTTCTCATTGATGCTCAGGACTATTACAATTTCGATAAAGTTTTATTCTCTGAATTGGATGATTTAATCGTGGATAACAATAAAATCTTCATGATCAAACTATCCAACTTTGAGAATAAAACTATCAAAATCATCGACTCGACCTATAAACTCCCACCATCTCATTACTACAATTAATTAGTCTCTTATTGATATATGTGTATTTTATGCGGATTGTTTCGATAATTGCCATTAAGTTACAAGTATTTAAATTAATTGTTATGATAAGAAAACGATCTTCATGTTGTAAGAAAGTTTCTCTAATAACTATTTTTGCCATGCAGTTACATTATGCTAGTCAGTCAGCTACAACGTGGGACCAGGCACATATATGCATCGGTCCAAGTTGCCATACCTCATTAACACAACAAGATGGACACTGGATTCATAAAAGTAGTTAATTCAGAGGTGGTAATATATAAAAGAAAGATTGCAATAAGGATATAGTACAGGAAGAAAGAATTAGTTGATAGAAAGATATGAAGCGATTTTAATCTCTTAGTTTAAGGGAACACAGAGAGTGTATACACCGACGCCATTGTGATCGATTCAGAGCCATGTCACCAAGAGTCTCCAATCATTGGTTACGATAGTCACGCTTAAGTTTGTAGATTGATAATAATCTTCCAGCTATTCCTAAATTACCTCTTCAGGTCTTTTAGGCTGTTTATTTAAGAGTTGTGCAAGGTTTCAGAAGATCTAATCACACAATCTATCAAGTAATTCTAGTTGATGAAGTTTGTTGACTGGGATAGAGTTGAGTATGATTTTTCCTAGTTAAATAGGATACAGTTTATATTTACATTTTGCAAATAAGCGTTTGGTATAATCTGAAACATACAAAAAGCGGTAAACCTAGAAATACATGAGGTTCTTACCTATTTTTTCCCTTTTTAAAATAGTAATTGACCTCTCAGTAAAATGCATCACTATATAGTTTACTATTAAGTAGCTGAACAATGTTAGCCGTACTCAATCTTACTAGAGATTTATATCGTCTAACGATCCACAATCATAATACCCCTAAGTGTGTTACTATGAGATATTACTATCGCTGGGAAACATTTTATCCAACCAGCATTCAATAGTTCTTCAGAAACATCTAGAAAATGAAGAGTCACGTGTCACATCTCTGACTGGATGGTCACCTATCCTGTTACTATTTTTAGTGGGATTCCAGAAGACCAAGGCTATCTGAAATGCTATAAATACCCTTGATTTTCTGTACGTAAACTAAGCTTGGAGTAAAGCGTTCTTTATACATTTCATGCCTTTTTTTCGTGTTCGATTCATCGTGTAGATTTAGCCTGATGTTATTGGAAGAGTTTAGGAAACTGATTTAAGCGTTCCCTTATAAGATTTATCAGTACCATACGAAAGGAGCTAAAATGGTGCAATTTCAGGGTTCTGATTGGTTATTATGGACCAATCAAAACATTGTCAATAAAGATCATAAAATAGTGATTTGTTTAAACCATATATTTGTGTTGACTATCATTACTATTCCATTATAACATTGATAACATGATTTCATTCATCTAATAATTGTATTCAGAGTTAAATCGTAAATGATAAAGCCATAAACGTCGTTCAAGTTGTTCATGATTGAAATCTTCTTGATATTTTGAAATACTTTTAATTCTTTGAGTTTGATTTGATAATATCGGTTGATTTAGTTGTGATGGTAAATTTGTATTACAGAATAGTATACAACTTATTCCTTTGTTGTATGGACATGTTGTTATAGAATGAACATTACCGAATCCCTTGAAAAGAAAATAACGAAATATTTCAATAGTATTATAGTTTAATCAAAGAGGGATTTTGTGGATATTATAGTAATTTAATTGTTGAGATCATGAGTCAATTGAAGGTAGACCATCATGGAAAACCTCAAAGCACTGGACGGCCGTTTCGTGCTATTGTGGGACTCCTCAGTGGCAGTGTACATTCACGATCCCGCCCCGCGAGATTCGAACTCAGGACCTATCAGTATTATGTTTAATGATGGAAGTTGGACCCGTAAATAAATGAAATACTCACTTATCGATCGATATCAGTAAAAGTATCAATATATGATGGGGAAAAAAAACTCGATTTAACAAGATTAACCTTCAATAATTGACTAATTGAGAAATAATTTTCACAAACTTTTTCCTACGAATCGTCAGAAATGATTGTGTTCTGTATGACTTGATCATTTTTTCAATATTGCATAGTCTTTAGTTCACTAGAATTGATACATATGATCCATATAGTCAGGATTAAAGGCATTTCTTGATGACAAGTGTAGATTAAAATAAGATTTAGATTTAGGGTTTCATCCTGATTACTTTCAATGATCTGATAATTTTATAAACTAGTAACAAATCATTCTGATCAAGTACTTTCGAGTATTGAGCAAAATTATGTGTATTTCTAAAGAATGAGGCGTTTGGTATTGGTGAATGACCACATATATGGTAGATTTGGTATGGTCCATGAATTTCCTTTCTCAATCTGTCTTTCATTCCAGTAGCCAGTTAGGCTCATATATAGGTAGGCCCCCAAATGTCCTAATACGACCGAGAGCGAAGAGAGTCCACTTTCCCTCTCGAAATTCTCTCAAATGACCATGCGTATATAGCCTCTGCCAGGGAACTCCTACTCACTGACTTCTTGTGGCGGGGGTGCTGTTTACGAAATTGAGAGGACAAAAAGCGAATGTCCGGCGCTTTAACCGGGTTGGTGGACACGCAGAGTTTACCTAGGGGAGTTGGAAAACCCAGATTCCAAACCAACGGTGCACATGGGCTCCAGTATCCTGAGGGAACAAATGGCGTATGAACCAGTCGTTAGTCACCGGCTACCATGGGACTGCCTTGTCGATCAGATCTTTAGGTCGATGACTCTGGGTGTGGTCTCCTACGGAAACCACCTGGTTTGGTTCGGGCACCCAGGCAGTATCACAGCCCCTCCCCCTTGTACCAATATCTGTGTGTCCAAATAGATAAATATATAGGTTGAATGTATATCAGTATCAACTCTTGGACAATGTATATTTCAACAAAACCACCGATAAGAAACTAATAATCTGGACTTTTTTTTTCTTTTTTAAAATAATAACTTACTGTTTTCCATTGATTTCTGATTTCACCAATTAACTCTTGTGAATTAAAATCAATAATTTCCACGTATGAATTATCTTCATTAGGTGTAGAGCCCACAAGAGCAAATATTAATTTAGCTAAAGAAAATAGTTGATATATATATATGTACAAATATGTAGTGAGATGAATTAGAGAATACAAGTAAATAGTTAATTTGTAATGATGAAAATGTATTTTCACAATTCAGATAATTGCTTATGTCAGTATTGATGATGTTCTATGTTTTTTATAGTCCATAAATGGATTGATCAATAATATTTTAATGGATGGGTTCATGAGTCGATCTAAGTTAGATTACTATTGTAAATTTGAAAGTACTGAACGGCCGTTTCGTCCTAGTATGGGACATTTCAGCAGTGCGCATCCACTATCTTGCACGCTTAAACACCTGCCACTTTGACTCGGTCAGAACTAGGTGTGGTCTATCTTGATCGAACTGCTAATCACTGAAAAGTCTATCTTTATTAAAAGTATAGTTGATTCTTGTAATGATTCATTTATTTGCACTCCCCATTTTAATGTTTGGTATGTAATTTTATTCCGTGAAGTTAGATTGTGTACCGATCAAATCGTGACACGTTTCGTTCTATTTGAGACTCATCTTTAGATGGATGCATCCTGAGGTTGATGTTCACTCCTGAATGAGCCCCAAATAAGACGAAACTCTCATCCTCCACCCTACTGCTAGGTACCATCTATCTTTGCTTATAATTATCAATCCTAGATAAAAAAAAAGATTGCAACATAAACTGATCCGAGATTTCGGATGCCAAATGGGGATGTGTAATAATCAGGTGATTAGAGAAGAATGGGAGGATGAGAAAAATTTACGGGTCAGAATTATGATACATAACCGTCCACTGAACCAGATCATGATTCAGTCTTTTCTATCGTTCCATAGACACATATATTTACTAAACAACTATAAATACGAATGTTCAGCTTAAGCAAATGATTTAATCGAAAATGATTATTCATAATTTTATTAAACAACTATTAAATACTTAGATTATTGTATTATTGTATTCCCTATATCGTAGGATTTCAGTTGACGCGTAAACTACTCTCATATGTTTTACATTTCATAAATTGCCCCCAAATGCCCTGGTACGGCCGAGAGTGGGAGAGTCCGCTCTCCCTATCGAAATTCTCTCACATGGCCACGCGTATACAGCCTCTGCCAGGGAAGTCCTACTCACTGACTTCTCACGGCAAGTGTGTTGTTTACGGAAATGAGAGGACGAAAAGCGAATATCCGGCGCTTTAACCGGATTCCAAACCAATGGTGCACATGGGCTCCAGTATCCTGCGGGAACAAACGGCGTATGAACCAATTGTTGGTCACCGGCTACCATGGGACTGCATCTCCATACGATGCTCACTGCCTTGTGGATCAGACCTTTAGGTCGAAGGCTCGGGTTTGGCCCCCTAAGAAAACCACCTGCTTCGATCTGGGCACCCGGGCAGTATCACAGCCCTCACATATATCGAATGAGATGTGTGTAGCGTATATATATTTGGTGCCTCATTGTACCAATATCTATGTGTTAAATAATATATACCTTGTAATTTCCTATTTATGTTACTATGTAGTTAGGTATTTAACCGATATTACAACGTGAGCTTTCAGTTGCAATGGATAAATATGTAATAGGAGTCTTATCCTCTTTCTAAGTTTGCTTTATAATTCGATACCGGGTTAGAGAGAAGTTACTTTATAGACTAACAACCATACGACTTCTCTCAGTCATTACACGAGATTATTTATCGTCGGTATAAGAGTGTCACTGGTCAAAATCAAGTCCAGTAGTCTACAAAGCGTTAACAATATTTAAGTTAATGGAATATATCTAGTGATTCAATCATAGAACATGTGAAAAAGATTCAAGATAATAACATACTTGAAGGTTCAATGGCGATGCCATAGATTGCTCTCATCTCTGGTTGTTTGTACTCAAATAGATAATCACCGGTACTATCTGATGTTGTCGAATATAAACCAGCTATGTAGCATACAATACGTTTGTTTTCTCTGTCTGCCACACATATTGCATCTTCTTCTTCCAATAAAGATAACTGATGCGGAATATTTAAATCATATGGTCCTGGAGATTCTGAATCTTTCAAAAATATTAAAAAAATTACAACATAAAGAATTATACACTACTGAATTAATAATGAGTAGCCACAGGTAGGATGCTTCTCGAAGATCTTCGTTTCATGAAGTGATCACATCTAAATTATTATTGATAATCAAGGATCACTGGGGCACAATCGCTTTTTCCTGATTTAGAATCACCCTCCAGTAGACAAGTGAATCTTTATCTTGAGTAAGTTACCATTTCGATCATTGAATTGTATCTCAATGTTTCGTATTCCCAGCTTTAATTAATTCGCTATATCGTGCAATTATTATCCACTGTCGTCAGGGCTATCCATACAAATTTCTGATCTTATTGAACTCCACTGCTGCTTACAGCTTCAAATTAGAACTACGAAAACAGAAAGGCATCGTCTATCATGTTTTCTATACACAATGCAACTGCTTTTTGAACCTGAACAAAAATTAGTCTCACCGTTAAGCTGGATATCATCATGAACAGTGAAAAGATTCAACGTAAGCATAAATGTCACTTTCTCATCAAGAAATTGTCTTAAAACTTTTTAGGCAATTAATCGTCATGAATTGAAAAATTATGTTAACTAATCAAAACTATGAAATGACCTTAACTAGGAGATAATTTCTGAATATCACGGATCGACTGAAGTTTTAATTTAAACCAATGGATGCCGACTCAGTGGCTTAAATGTTAAGCGCTCGTAGAGTGACTTAAAGACCCTAGGTTCAATCCCCATTGGAAGAGTTCATATGGATTACTTAGGATTCTTATACTAGGACAAAGCACCTGTGTAGTTTTTCTTGACTGCTAATGGTTGTTTGACCAGAGTGAATCCGTGATAGAAACTACCAAATTCAACAATCTCTCCAACCTTCTTATACACTTTTATAGTAATTTAAAATTTCTCAGAAATTTACACAATGAACCTTAAACTTAAACTCCAATATCTCATTGGAATTAAAAACACAATTCAGTCATTCAAAGTATAATTAAATGATTTGCATTTTTCCGTTTACGAGCATGTCAGTTTGTTGTACACCAGTGTACACTAGTATTGATGTTCACATTGAGATTTAAGCTGGACGAGGTGAAATCCACATAGTCTCTGAGAGACTGATAATTCGCGGGAAAATATAAATCCTTACATGTATAACTTCAAACTATTTGAAAAGGCTAGTTGGTATTAGAAATAAGCAGTCCAATGGTGATGATACATTAGGATTTAAAGCAGTAGTATAGGGGTTGTGGAGATCATTAAGTTTTTGATTGAGATGATGAACCGACTGATGTTGAACCACCATTGAAAACCTGAAAGCATTGGACGACGGATTTGTCCCAGTACGGGACTCCTGAGCAGTGCGCATCCACGATCTCGATCACGGGTTTCGAACCCAGGGCCTTCAGTCTCGCGCGCGAACGCCTAACCTACTGAGTCACTAGGGGACAATGTTTAGATACGATGAAACTTATGGTGGAATATGAGAAATTTACGGTAGATAAATACTTTTAACATAATTAAGGAAAGAAAAGTTAGCTTTTAATGATTAGGTGTCCGGTTAAAGTCAAGAATCAGAGTTGGGAGTGAGCTTTTAGAAGTGTTAAGGTTTAGTGTTAGGGTTAGGATTAAAAGGGTCAGGAGAGTTATAGTACTCAGTACTATGTTTAGAATATGAAGTGAGCATTTGAGACTACTTCATAATCCCACAAAAACATGCTGAACTAGTCCATGAATCTTATCATAGACACTCAGATGAGTATTTCTATCAATTTAGCTTACGCATCATGTCTAAATGATTGTGTGGTTGAATATAAACAATTATTGGAGACTAAAACTTTAATGTTAAAGTCTCAATAATACCCAGGAGGCCCATGATCGTCAAGAAACGTTTTATTCAATCAACGTTGAATAGTATCTTTGTGGAAACATCTAGAAAATGCAGAATCACGTGCCGCAGTTTTGATTGGGTATTTACTTTTTTCTATTACTATATTCAGTATAGTTTCGGAAATTAATGAAGCTCAAGGCGGTATGTAACTCTATAAATACTCTCGTTTTCCTGTAAATAAACAAACCTTCGAGTAAAGCGTTCTTTTCATACTTCTCGCCTTCCCTTTAGCGTTCCAGTTAACATGTGAGAGTAGTTGTAAATATTGGAACTGGCTAGGAAGGCAGTTTAAGCGTACCGGTAGCAAGACATATTATTTAAAACTAATTATGAACAAGTTGTATCTTTTTTTTTATAAGATACATCTTATTCTTCACTACGTTTTGAATGTTGCGCAAAGTGTATAGATACTGTTTCGAATCTGATTGGCCGTCTGACGTTCGTCACCATAATATAGTTTTAGAAATTACGTAACTAAACCATAATAAGCAAAAGGTGATGATAGTTCTTCTGAATACATGGATTAGGCTATAGATTCGAATCCTTTTAGCTTCTGTTATAATATAGTAGATATGATTAAGCTCCGTTAGGAAGCAACGTACCGATATGATCGATCATTTTTATTGAAAATATTACTTTTTTTCATGAGGGATATTTACAATAAAAACAATAGTTTCAATTACCTTTCGTTTCGTAGCCCCATGATTTTAGAAATTCTCCATTTTCATTAAATTTCACAATGCGATTATTACAATACCTAATAAAGGTTGGTAAATTTAAAATATCAGAAGGGGTTTCGTGGATATTGTAGTAATTTCAATGGTTGAGATCATGAGTCGATTGGAGCTAGATCACTGTGGAAAATCCGGAAGCACTCGACGGCCGTTTCGTCCTATTGTGGGACTCTTCAACAGTGATCATCCACCATCCCGCCTCGTGAACGAGCACTTAACCACTAGACTACTGAGCCGACATCCAACGGTGTAAATGTCTAACTTCAACCAATCCACGAAATTGAGCGACACATCCACCATTGTCACCAGTGAGTTGCTATCTCACAACAGACTCAGTTGAATTCCACTGACCACTGCTTCTTACTAGAATCCACGAAATACCTCTTGGAGACCATCACTAGTGAGCATATGTTGATTAGTATCAGAAGGGGTTTTGTGGTGATTGTAGTAATTTCAATAGTTGATATAATGAGTCAATTGAAGCTAGACCACCGTGGAAAACCTGGAAGCACTAGACGGTTGTTTCGTCCTATTGTATGTTGTGTAAGATAAAGTAAAAGAATCTTTTTTTTATAAAAACAGTTCACTTTAGAGAACGACAAAAACAGCTTGTATGAAATCCATGGAGTTTTTTTGAAAAAAAAGTACACATCACAAACCGATCTTAATTAGATAACCACTGAAAACTAGAAAGCATTGAATGGTTGTTTCATCTTAAAACGAGATCCCACAGTGGTGCATACCCATGAATCACCAGGAAATTGAGATCAAGATGTTTAGGTCTTTCAACCAGTCAATAACCTTCAAGCTGTCGAGTCGGTATTTTGCGTTTTACTTCAACTGATTAACTTAGTAAGTTTACGTCTATTTGATTGTTAAATATATTTTATTTATACTTGTAATAAGTTGGGGTCATAATTGAAATAAGTAGTTTGCAGAGTCTTAGTGTCAAATGGAACTTGACAGTCATGAAGTCATATAAATATTTCAGTAGTCAGAGACTGTTGATTTGAAATTTAATCTATCCTCATATTCAACACATTAGATCAACGATTACAGCTAACACATACATAAATGAAAGCAATACGGTAGATAGAATAGATGGATAGTTAATAAGAAATTCGAAAACTTAAATTTTACTTACTTACTTACTTACTTACTTACGCCTGTTACTCCTCGTGAAGGAGCATAGGCCGCTCACCAGCATTCTCCATCCAACCCTGTCCTGGGCAATCCTTTCTAGCTCCGTCCAGTTGTAATTCATCGTTTTCATATCTGCTTCTATTATCCGACGCAATGTGTTCTTTAGCCTTCCTCTTTTTCGCTTCCCTTCAGGATTCCAAGTTAGGGCTTGCCTCGTGATGCAGTTCGACGATTTGCGTAATGTATGTCCTATCCATTTCCATCGTTTTTTCCTAATTTCTTCTTCAGCTGGAAGTTGGTTTGTTCTCTCCCACAGAAGGCTATTGCTGATGGTATCCGGCCAATGGATGTTGAGTATCTTGCGTAGACAGTTATTTATAAATACTTGTACTTTCTTGATTGTGGTTGTTGTAGTTCTCCAAGTTTCAGCTCCATACAGTAGAACTGCCTTGACGTTCGTATTGAAGATTCTTACTTTGATATTGGTTGAAAGTTGTTTTGAGTTCCATATGTTCTTCAATTGTAGGAAAGCGGCCCTTGCTTTGCCGATCCTCGCCTTTACGTCTGCATCGGATCCTCCTTGTTCATCGATGATGCTTCCCAGGTATGTGAAGGACTCTACATCTTCCAGAGTTTCGCCATCAAGTGTGATTGGATTGCTGTTCTCCGCTTTGAATTTGAGGACCTTAGTTTTCCCTTTGTGTATGCTGAGGCCTACTGATGCAGAGACTGCTGCTACACTGGCTGTCTTTATCTGCATCTGTTCGTGTGTACGTGATAGGAGGGCTAGGTCATCTGCGAAGTCCAAATCTTCTAATTGGTTCTGAGCTGTCCATTGTATTCCGTGTTTTCCTTCAGATGTTGAGGTCTTCATAATCCAGTCGACCACCAGAAGAAAGAGGAAGGGAGAGAGTAAACAGCCTTGTCTGACTCCGGTCCTTACTTGGAACGCATCTGTCAGCTGTCCTCCATGCACTACTTTGCACTGTAGTCCGTCGTATGAGTTCCGGATAATATTGACAATCTTCTCAGGAACTCCGTAGTGTCGAAGAAGTTTCCACAATGTCCTCCTATCTACACTGTCGAATGCCTTTTCATAATCAATGAAGTTGATGTATAGTGATGAGTTCCACTCAACTGATTGTTCGACGATGGTCCGTAGTGTTGCAATTTGATCTGTGCACGACCGATCCTTACGGAATCCAGCTTGTTGATCTCGAAGTTGGGCGTCTACTGCATCCTTCATCCGGTTCAGCAACAATCTGTTGAAGACTTTCCCTGGTATTGACAGTAGTGTAATGCCTCTGTAGTTTTCACATTTGCTCAGATCTCCTTTCTTTGGAATCTTGACGAGGTGTCCTTCTTTCCAGTCCATCGGCACTTGTTCCTCCTCCCAAATCTTTTTGAATAGAAGATAAAGCATGCTTGTGGTTGCTTCGATGGCTGATTTCAGTGCTTCAGCTGGTATGTTGTCGGGTCCCGCTATGTATATAAACAGAAGCGATTTTTAAATTATTTGTTTCTATCTATTACATGACCACTATCGACCAAGTGCGATAGAACAGAGCCACATATTGTTTTGATTATACCCTATCGTAATGACAAAGGTGTTCGCCAACTCATTGGCTCACCATAAACAAGAAACTAGAGCTCATTCGTAGAGTGTTAATTGATATGGGTTATCCATATGATTTTTTGAAGAAACACTTGCATAAAGTGAACAGGAAGATAGAGGCATAAACAGATAGTAAGAAACCTCTCTTCCTAAAGCTACAATTCAATGGAGATGTAGCTAGTGATGTACTAACAATATATACTATATAAAGCAATGAACAGGCCATTTGATGCCGATAACCCCTGCTTATCACTTCTGAGATGACTTATGGTTACTCTTTAAGCAAAGTATAAATTACCGTGTTTTTCCACTTCCATATGTATCTATGAATCCAGTTGCTCCTGTGGAGAAAGCTATATTGGGCGTACAACCAGACACTTAATACAACGATTTAGTGAGCATCTCCCTTCGTGGTTAGGAAAGGGATGGTCAAAACAAGAGCAGTTTTTATCAAGAGCAGTGACATATATAAAATGTTAATCGAAAATTTACAACTTAGTTTTGAGATTTACTACAAAATTCGTACTAGTTTACTACAATTGTTGTTCACACTGTTTAAATTTTAATAAACTTATCTAGTCTATTTGAATGCAATTCAGTAGTCAACTAAGTGCAATGTCTTGTATTCGACTTGGTACCACATTGTATTGTGTGTGTGTGTATCTGTAGAGAAAGTACTTGTGACTCTATGTAGTTGACTAAATCAAAACTAAATTGAGTGTTTTAAAAATCTATATCAAAGGTACCAGACAACTGTGTTTCATTAAAGAAAAAAACATTTATAAAGGGGAAATATAACTAGATTTATTTACCCATCAGAGATAAAAACTTGTCCATTTGAAGAAACTACTACGTCCGTTGGTTTACAAAATTGATTTTCACTTGAACCAGGTTTAAAACGTTCACCAAGTGTTAATAGTGGTTCACTTGATAAATTTGACGAGAATTTAAAAACCTTATGTATAGAAACAAAAATTATCGAGGTCGTAAGATTCTTGTATTTTAAATATACTCAAGAGTAAAGATGGATAGTGGCTAGCAGTGGAATCCAGGACGCGCGTTTCGTCTTATTCGGGACTCGTCAGCTGGATGTGCCTGCATCCCAGTGGGAAGATACAAGTAAAACAACACCAGGTAAATTTATACTTAGGAGTAGTTAGTGTATTTTTTTCTTGGCTTGTTTTACTGCTTAAATTAACTATTGAATAACTAACTGTGAGAGTCCTAAATAGGTTATTAATAAGGTAATAAATGAATATGGTAGGGATAGAATTAACAGTTAGGATTAAAAGTTAAGGCTAAAAAATAGAGTTAAGTTTTTCATCACGAAACGACATCAGCTAGATTGTTGGAATTTTATGGGTGAATTTGTTCCAAGAATCCCAGATTCACTCTATCAAATCCCATTGGTTCGTCCATAAATTATAGTCCTGTCAACTAATTGTTCCCCTATTAGTTAAAAAAATTTGTTTACGCCATTTTTAGTCTGTTATTGTTATTCTTGATTGCTTTGAAGGTAGACTGTTGTTGTGTTCATCACCTTGCAAGTGAGTTTAATGTAAACAAATCATGATTTACTGTAGAACTATCGATTATTTTATTTATCCATACGTATTGATATTTCTGAAAAGCCAAAACAGCTTTTGGTTTCAACTGACCTTTCGTGCGTTACTATAGTGATAAAATAGGATTTATTACTGAATCAATGGCAAAATTTCAATAGAGATAACTATTGATAATCAACGATGATAGTTATTTATAATCTAATTGATAGTCATATGTGACTGGTTACATTTAAACAGTGTTGAATCTGATATATCGTGACATGTGCAGTGTTTATAAACATTAATGTTAACTTGAAGCAGAACTGGACTTTTTCCAAAAGCGTTAAATCAGTCGGTCCCGAGGGCATTGTCTGTGACTGGTTATTGTTACATCTTATTTTCTTCATGTGCTTTCAGATTCTAGTTGACTAGTTTGATTATTCGACGCCTGATCACGCAATTGAGTCATCTTATTAAATATAGGACTATAGATCGGATCAAGGCTGATATGTCCACTTATTACGCAATTGTGGGGAAAGCCCCCGGTGAATTCAAGGAAGCTCAGAAGGAGCTGAAGGCATTCCATCCAATCATCTTTTGGAAGAATGTTCCAGAATATCGACGTGTAGCTTCCCGATTGAACAAATGCTAAGAGCCACTGCATGCGGATTAGAAGACTGTAATGATGATTTCGTTCTCACTAAAAAGATATAAATACCTTAGTGTTTTGTATTATATTTGACACTGTTTGGAATAGGATTCCTCACTCATCTGCTGTCTTCCAACCTTCGACTTGGAGAGTTCTAGTGTTCGAATGCTCAAGCTGTACGTCGTATAGCAAGAATATAAGCTCTAGATATAACAAAACTGAACTAAGTACTCTGGTTCTACATGTTCTCAGTAATTCTTAGAAACACCTCGATCCAAAATTTTGTCATAAGTTTCCAATTTAATTCAGGATCATAGTTTCCTGTGTACATTTATACAAATGACAACATGTCATGCAATTTCGTTATTAGCTTCGAACCATAAAGTTTGTGTGTGTTTGTGGACTAGTTAACAGACCCATGTTTCCAGATCGAACTATTTAAAGCGCTTCAAGTTTTCAGTATAAATAATTTGATGAATCTTCAGCTGGTCTATAGTATACTTTTTTCTACTATGCCAATATAACTTTTTCGTCAGATATATATATATATATATATATATATATATATATATATATATATATATATATATATATATATATATATATATATACATAACACGAGAATGATCCATGATCATTTTCGGTTATGTCAATTGCATTAAAAAACACTCCATTGAGTAGTTTAAGAAAGAGGTACTATTATGTACAGTTAAAAACTATACATTGAACCCTGATTAAATAGTTTATTTTTCAAGTTTGTTAATTCACCAAATAATAAGTATTATATCCCAATAAGAATAATGAATGGTAACTGTTGAGATCTATTTCTGAACTAATACTGCACGTATATTTTTATTGTATAATTTTTAAACAACTAAACTGTTCATATTCATGTCCCTGTTATTATGAGCTTTATTTTGATCCATAGACTATTATTATACGATTTACTGTTCTTAAGTTATGCCCAGTCTACCAATCATTATCTCCCTCATTCACAACCACATTTGGTTAATTCTTGTACAAATGTTGTTTCCTATTTTATGGTACGATGTGGTCTGTCTGGTTGGTATATAAACCCAGTGTGCTTGAAATAAATGATTCATAGCACGGGAGCTGAGATTGGTGTTCTGGACTTAACAGGCAGGGCTAGGCGGGAAGCAGGATCGGTGAGGACTCTAGACTGCTCGTACATGTTTTATGTATCATTGGTCGAATAGATAATTCACTGTTCTCTAATTGGTGGTATCATTACGTTATACATTAATAGGACACAGGGCACAAGTTATAACAATAGTAATAATAGCTATTATTGTTATCATTAAAGCTTAGCCATAAAAAATTAGCACATGAGTTAACTACATATAAAAAAAACAATTCCATTTTATAATATTTAGTTGATTGTTTCAAACTTACTTGATGTAAAGCTATATCTGTAATCCAGAAATTTCCATCTGGATCTATTGTAAGCCCATGAGGAAGGAAGAACCTTTATTTTTTGGGGGTAAAAGAGACAACAACAAATAACACGTCATTTTACAATTGATAATGAATACTTATTTTAAAACTTAAGACATATTCATTCTATGTATTTGACTGAGTTAGACCAAGAATAAATGTTATTGCTTTATTCTAATCAATTATCAATGAGAAATTGTTGAAGTATTTGCTATGAAATACTGAACTGAATAGTTATTGGTTGGTTAGTCAGTCAGTAACAACGTAGAACTTCGTACGCACGTACATCAGTTCAAGTTGCCATACCACATTAGCATAGAGATGCAGTTGTCGATTCAAATCCCGTAGTGATAGAGGCGGTAAGAGTATAAGCAGTAATCGGAAAGATTAGGGTTTGAAGAAGTTATTCAAAGAGTATAGTCCATTGAAATAAATTTGGAAAGAGAAAAAAAGAGACAAGGAGCATTCGGAAGATTAGAATTTGGGAGAACACAAAGAGTGGATGCACCTGCGCCACTGCAAACGATTCTGAGCCATGTCATTCAGGATCTCTAACCATCGGTTGCTATCATCTCGCGGTCCCCAACCAGGTAGTCTACACCTACCAACTTGTCTCAGTTCACTTGTCAGTGACTTCATGGACTTGTGACATGTTTTGGTCTGGCCGCCCCTAGCTTTCTTCCAACCTACTCCTATACCATAAAACATCGCACGTCGAGGCAGTCGGTCGTTGGGGATACGTAACACATGTCCCAACCATCTCAACTGATGAAGTTTCACTACTTTATCAATTGATTTTCCATCCTTACCTTGACCTTCAGTCTTGATTAATTATTAATCAATTGAAAATCAACACATAATCCTATTTTCACAGATTGAAATCATGAGTCAGTTGAAGCTAGACCACCATGGAAGACCTGGAAGCACTGGACGACCGTTTCGTCCTAGTATGGGACTCCTCAGCAGTGCGCGTCCACGAACTCGCACCCCGCGGGATTCGAACCCCTTCTGACATAATCCTATTATTTCTCATGAATAAGTGATAGATTTTATGGTGAGACTATAATTTATGGACAACCTTTGAGTGACGCTAAAGAGACTTTGAGAATGTCCACCTACATACTACGGCTAAATGAGGGTTATGAACCAGTGTGAGAAATTAGGATTAATATTTACAGTTGATAGTTACGGTTAGGAATCAGATAATAGGTTTTTCATAACGAACTGAAATCAGCTATAATGCCAAAACTCTATTTAGCCGAATGAATGAATTAATTTCGCGCCAAAATTCAAGACCTGTTATCGTAAATCTGACTGGTTCATCCATAAATTATAGTCTCACCATAACTATATTAAACATTTTGACAAAATACAGATACATTTCGACATTCAACACTACTTGTGTTTCCTTGATCTCAAATTGTAATTTAAAGTAGTTGTTCTATCAGTATTATAAGTTTATCTGTTGGATATGCGAAGATAACTCACTGTCGACCCTCGTACTGTTTATTTCCTACCTTCAAAAATAATTGCAAACCATTGTTCAGAAAATAGTTCGTTCCTTGATACATACATACTGCTGCATGGTCAGTGAAACTATGATGTGATTGACTCATAAGTGAAGACAAACAGACACTTAACTTACCAACTAGTAAATATGTGATTACCTTTTTATTATTAATTTCTACTCTAATCTTCACTGAGTCAAGACTGACTACAATTCTGTTGAATCGAGTACTGTTTAGCCTAATAATCTAGTACTCTATATCTAGTCACGGATCACAAATCTGGTACAAGGTGATTTCAATCTCTGAGAATAGCCTATCTACCGAGTATCTGGTCAAGTTTTAGCATAGCTTCATACCAGGCTTTTATCATCATATTATAGTATTATATCGTGGTACGACAGAAAATATTACTTACTTGAAAGGAAAATAGGTTCTTTTAATCTCTCCATTAAAGATTTGTACTAAAACTCCTTTTTGTATAGGTTCAGACTTATTGAGACGGTAATTATCTCGATCATCAAATGTACTATAAATAAAATAAAAGACAGAGATGGAAAAACTTAGAACGGTGATATTCTTTTCGTAAGGATTTGTAGTTTTTTGTTGTCAATATTCGGTATCAAAATTGTTCATTCTCTATAAAGATTTGTTTTTCCTGAAGAGTTTGGCTCGAGGATAGCCTTAATGCATCGAAGTTTTTTTCAGATTTGAACTGTAGATGACAGTGAAATCCAGTATAGGTGTTCTGTCCTCTAATGTTGTTTCCTTTAGGCTATTTAGTTCAGTTAGCCACTAAATTGTTGAATTGGTACGAAGTTACATATGCAGGGGTTTATATTTTCGCATTTATTAAGGTTCGGAATAGCAATTTATCAGTCTTTATTGACCTATGTGGATCTCTTGAGGGAGAATACATTAGGCAAGTTATAGGTACATTCAACCGTTGAAATCAATAAATAATGGACAAGTATTTTCTCTCAGTTCCAAAAATTCCACAGTTTCCTTAGTTTGATAATAATATTAATAATACTAATGCAAATGTTAATAATAATCTCTAACGAGTAACTTCCAAATGGATTTCGATGTTTCACTGAGAAGTTATGATTAATGAAGTTCATTGATCATCAAGCCTATTTTAAGTAAACATGACGTTTTAAAGAACACTTACCTCTATAGTTTAAATACTTGAAGTTATGATCATTGCATGTTATGGATAATCGTAAATCTTTATCTTGAGATTTGTAGCTCAGGTGGATGTTTTGGTGCAATTTTGTAAATTGGATGGTTTGGTTGTGGAGCTTTCATCGTTCTTCTGAACAATATCATCAGCACAAACTTCAAGTAATAGTGAATTGTTCGAATTTCCCTACAAATGACTTCCAGCTTGTCCTGTAGACCTTGATCTTGATTGGTTATTGTTGACCTTTAACCTGTCGTTGTTTACTTCTTTATTTTGTATCTTCCATTGATTTGAGTCATATGTGGAGAAATTCGAACGATTCACTATTACTTGAAGTTTGTGCTGATGATATCGTTCAGAGTAATGATGAAAGCTCCGCAACCAAACCATCCAATCAGAGAACAAAACTCCACCATAATTATATCTTGCCTAACTGTTTAGTATGTTACAAAATCAACACTGGGTGTATTATATTATGATTAAGAAAGATTAGTTTCCTTATGAGTCAATGGAAATCGAATGGTTCTTAAGAACACAAAGTGTAATGCATAGTTACTTGCTTAAGAAATAGGGATTTTTGAACACGATAAATTCAAGAATTCCTATGATCATCAAAACTATTGACATTCAAACGATAGATAAGAAATTTTAATGTTACGAAGAATGATTCAATAACTCTTCAAGTCATTCTTCAGTAGAAGGCCTATTTATTAGGTGTTCAAGTAAATAAGTGTTAAGAAAGCCTAAGTTTATCACTCAATAGGTCAGTCGTAACATTTTAATGTGCGTGAACTGTGGTCAAATATATTAGAAGATACTGATTGTTCTTTGACACATGTTACACACTTATAGCAAATTCGAAATTCAATGTTTCTTTAGTGTAAAGTGAATTGTTCTAAGTGTAACGGGAAGAAAACGTTGAAAATCCCTCCACAGCATTTTTGTTGGACACTACTGTCATTTATTTGTTTCTTCTCTCTGTTGTGTATTTTAACCTCTGTTCAAATCTCTTTCAACCACACTTTGTGTTCTTCAGTCTTCTTCATCTGAGCTTTTATTGTGTGATTTTGATTAAAGACTTATCTTTTGTTACCTAATTTTTCTATTGCACGTTGCCCGACTATTGACAATAAGGTTGTGTGTTAATTAAGTTCAAAGTCACGGAGTGGTTTAGTGTGTAACTGTTAACCTCTTGACTATCTGCTTGGGAGGATTGCTAGAATCCCTGCAGATAGATATGTGTTCTCATCTTGTTGGGAATATTTTTATTGATTCTCATGTACTGAACTCTTTTGTTAATTAGCACGCTAATTTGTGTTAGAGAAACCCTTGACTGAATAACACAAGCTGTACCGTTTGAGGTATTTTGTATTTTTGATATAATTTGTTCTATTTCTTAAATTAGAACCGTTTAAATTGAGCACAAAGTTTGTGTTTTGATATAATTTAATACGAGTAACTCAAAAATGCTTCATACGCTATACAGAAGAACGTAGTCTCGTTTAATCGAATAAATTTTGGTTCGTCAGCTCTGTATTCAAACCGAATATTGGCATTTCAGTTGTCACACTAAGTGTGTGTTTAAAAAATCTTCATCTATTCACCAGTGTTTATTTGCTATGGTCAGATCTACTCAGTTCATGTTAACCAGTCACTTTGAGTAATAATACCAATTAAGATCAATATGAGCAATGAACATAAGAGTAAGATATTCAAATTTCTTGGTCTCATTATATCAACTATTATTTGCATTACTGTTTTGGTACGCTAATTATTGAACGAATTTCATAATAACTGTCGATAATAATAATTACAATACACTGTTCCTAGATTACGCTTGACCAATGATAAGATATTTTAGGGTGGAGTTTCACTTTCTGAAAACAAAACGCTAAACAACCCATTTTCCCCCATTAACATATTACTAACTAGCTTACTTTTGATCCCATACTCGATCACCACGATGTAAAACATAAACATTTGAAGCGGATTGATCCGTTGCTTTAACAGAGGATACCACCCCTAAATAGTCGTTCACATTTCTTAATGGCCAGGATTCATTAAAGCCAATAAAGAAATCGTTTTGTCTAATTAACTAGAGATAAAATATACAAGAATAAAAAATAGTTAATTTCTACGCTTTTGACGACTATCATTTAAAATAATGTACAGCTGGAAATTTCAAGAGATAGAATTCTAGTGATAATCCATAACCAGTTAAGTTCAACCATATCGGGCGTAAGACAGTTACTTACCGAAGACAATGTAAGGTGGTCATGCAATACTATGAATTAACTAAAGTTAGACGTATACACCAATAGATTCCGGTTTATTGATCTAGAATTTCAAGATTCATAAGTGATCAAACGCCTTGGGTTGATTTCCGGTAGGGTGGTGAATGTGTATTGTTGCACCTTATACTAGAATTAAATAGCTCTTCAGTGCTTCGTGGTTTTCACTCCTTATCATAAGTCGGTTTGTGATGTTAATAGTCTCTACATTACCTGTATTTTTTATTACTGAAGAAAAAATAATTTGTCACAGAATGCTAGATTATTCTGAGCTATAATATCCGTTGCTACATAAACTGTTTTAAAGTAATTATTGGCTAATGGTATCCGGCCATCCATTGGTTGGACATCATCGGCAACAACCTTCTGTGGGAGAGGACAAACCAGCTTCCAGGTGAAAACGAAATTAGGAGAAGACGATGGAAATGGATAGGACATACATTACCGAAATCACCAAACTACATCACGAGGCAAGCCCTAACTTGGAATCCTGAAGGGAAGCGGAAAAGAGGAAGGCCAAAGAACACATTACATCGGGAAATAGAATCAGATATGAAAAAGATGAATAACAACTGGATAGGGCTGAAAAGGATTGCCCAGGACGGGGTTGGGTGGAGAATGTTGGTGGGCGGCCTATGCTCCTTGACGAGGAGTAACAGGAGTAAGTTATCAACTAGAAACACACTTTTTCAAAGAACTTTTAGTACGTTATATTGAAATAAAATGATTCCATTACATTATGGCGCTCTCACCATCGATTGTACAACATTTCAACAGACTTTTATTCCATGTTTATTCAAATTCCAGTTATTTATGGAAAAAGCATTTTATCCCTGTATAAGGTTTATGAATTTCAATATATTCAACCATAATTTTTTTTAAAGAGGATCGATAAGAAGAAAAATTTCAGGAAATTTGATTTTTCAGTCTGTATTTTTCACTATTTAACAATACAATACTTTTTAAGTCTTATATAATTGATACCCTAGATCAATCAGACATGTCAATTGTAGGCCAAATGATAAGAGGTATATGTTAACGGGTACACATTTACTGGTCAGTACTTGACATAACTTTCTGAGGAAACAGATGAAACAGTACTAGTTGAAACTTCAGTCCAATTTTCTGAGGGGAACGGATATCTATTTATAAATGAGCTTGTGTATATGTTCTCGATTTGAGTTAGCCAACAGAAGCTTCCTACTCACCCTGAATTTTCTCATTGAAATAACTCGTGAAGCTCGTATATATTGATGACAGACTAGGATGACACAATAAATTTTCTGATGACGAGTTAGTTCAACAATATTTTGGCAATGAATTTTTGACTCTGCAAGAAAAATAGATCCATGTCAATATCCCAAGCACAGCTTAAATCTATTTTGTAGAAGCATAGAAAACAACATCATCGAATTCAATATTAAATCCAAATCAACCGCTAGGACTGTTATTATTTGAATTAGTAATTTACCCTGATAATTATGAATATGTGATGGACTACTTCAACGATAGTGTTTGCATGGAATTTTCATGATAGAACAATCAATTTGGTTTAATTATGCCATTGATTCTAAAGTTCTAAATGGGCAAATTTAAGAGAAACAGAACTACTGAATAGTTGACTTAGTGCATGTTCAATATGGCAAATTGCCACTTACATATACCCTGTAAGAATAAAGTAAATTTTTAAATTAACTAATGAATTATCAAGACTGAAAATAAACGCTATATATCACTAATTATTGTATACTTCTGCATGCTGTAATCTATATCCTATCATCCTACATCCCAGTCTTCATTAATAAGGATAGTATTTATATTGGCCTATGTTAATCCTTGCAGTTTGTTTTCCAATGAAGATCTCGCTTCTCCTTGAAGGCATTCCTTAATGAAGCTTATACCACTAATTCGGTTAGGACGTTCCAGTCATCGATCATTAGATAAGAAAATCGAAATTCCACTCTGCATTTATTTGATCACGGTTTTTGAACCTTCTTACTATGGCCTCGAATATGATTGGTTCCGGAAAGATCAAAAAGACAAGATATCTTAATACTCAAATCATTATTTAAGATAATAAATGCCAACATAAGGTCATCTCTCACTCTACGATATGGGGGAAAGGTCTAAGCATTTCAAGCACTCAGGATAGTTTGTTCCATGTTGAGTCACCTAAACGAGTGAACATATTGCAACGTAACCGACAAAATCCAGTCAGTACTAAAAAGACTAGACCAGTTACTCAGTTATCAACCGACTGTATCACTGTATATTACAATCTTGTGTAACTAATGGGAATGTGAAACATAAAAGTAATCATCAGTTAATCAGATATGTCACTGAACAACAGAGATGGATTAACATGTTATACATTGTTGAACATCATATTCCCCAACTAGTTAAAGTATAATACAGACATTTATTAACTGTGACGGTGTAGTGCGCGCTACTTAAATTGATGTAAGTAGTATATGACGCGAGTTAAAAACGTAATGTCTAGCAGCAGAAGATGGGGGAAGATCAAGAAAGGAAGAACGGGAACACAATGCAATTTGTGAGAAAACGCATGAACAATGAAATGTGAGACAATGGATTGATGACTGCAACAGCAACAGTCCGGTTCGATATGATGGATTAATATTTTGCAAATTAAGGATTTCCCATATCGTTTTTCTATTTTAGCAGGTAACTGTGTAATTTTGTGCTAGATGGAGTTTAAATGTCCTCACCCGTGTACTATTCACTACAACGGTAGTATGGTTTCGAAACATTTTGAATAATGAACTCTATGGAGCTGAGATTAACGTAAAATCGCGTGTTTTAAGTTGCCGGCGTAGCTCAATTTCAAACAAGAAGTTTAGTAGAATTATACTCTATGTGCAAGTCATTCAGAATTGGGAATGTAACTTTCAGAGATTTGGGCGAAAGTTGAATGTCATTTAGAGTGAGCAATAGAAATATCTTTTTATATGGCTCAAAATTTTGTGAATAATTGATTTTATGGTTGAACTAATCAATTAATGCTTCTTATATATTTCCAATGAAAATTCATTTATCCATATAGCTACAGACCATATCTGTATTGTCAATTTGTAATGAAAACTCTAATCCTAAGGACTTTTAAAAGCCTGTTTGGCTGTTTTTAAGGGTTCAAGAAAATAAAATAACCTAAATCCATAAAGACGAGTTTACATGTCGTTAGTTTTCTGAGGACATACAGACAGAGTAATCTGTAGAAGACTTTAGTAATAGATTAATTAATTACGTGAAATTGGTTCACTATTTGTAATACTGTTATTTCCTCTATAAACAATCCACTTGCAGAAGCTGTTTTCTGTTTGGTTACAAACTTTCATTACAATTCTTCCCATTTATGAATTTGACTAAATTAAGAGGGCCTGTCTCGTGACGTAGTTGGGTGCTTTCCTCAATGTGTGTCCTATCCACTTCCAGCGCTTCTTCCTGATTTCTTCCTCCACTGGGATCTGATTTGTTCTTTCCCACAGTAGGTTGTTGCTAATAGTGTCCGGCCGACGGATCCGAAGTATTTTGCGAAGACAACTGTTAATAAACACCTGTATCTTCTGGATGATGGCTTTCGTAGTCCTCCAGGTTTCTGCCCCCATACAGTAGAATTGTCTCGACATTTGTATTGAAAATCCTGACCTTGGTGTTGGTTGACAGTTGCTTTGAGTTCCAGATGTTCCTCAGTTGTAAATATGCTGCTCTTGCTTTACCGATCCGCGCCTTCACATCTGCATCAGATCCACCCTGTCCATCAACGATGCTGCCCAAATACGCAAAGGTTTTTACATCTTCCAAATCTTCTCCGTCAATTGTGATTGGATTGGTTCATTCTGTGTTGTATCAGAGAATCTTGCTTTTCCCTTTGTGTATATTGAGACCTATTGCTGCTGAGGCTGCTGCCATACTGGTCGTCTTCTCCTGCATTTCTTGTTGCGTTTGGGATAGAAGGGCCAGATCATCTGCGAAGTCTAGATCGTCCAACTGCATCCCATCTGTCCACTGTATCTCGTGCTTCCCTTCAGATGTTGACGTCTTTATGATCCAGTCGGTCACCAGGAGAAAGAGAAAGGGTGAGAGTAAGCAACCTTGCCTGACACCGTTCTATATATATAGGGAGAGAGAAAGAATGTTTGTGTGTTTAAACACCTCTCGTTTATCCTATAGATATACAAAGACAGACTTATGTCACTGTCCATGGTCTGTGCACTCGAGGCTTTACAGAATTCAAAATCCTGAATAGTCATAAGCGTTTCATGAACGTATGACAGCATATTATACAGTTCACATCTATAACCCAATCCGTTAAAATAAATGTAAAACGATAAGAATTATTATACTATACACAATGGGAATGATGGATCACCTAAAGATTCGATCAGGGTATATAATAATATTGTTATTATTACTATTACCATTAATATAATCGATATCGTGGTAACATACCTCATTTTGAAATTCATCATCATTATCATGATCATCATCAATTGAAAATGGATATCTTTGGAAATCATATATTATACATGTTATATACTTCCATGTAAATAAGAGATTAATGAAGAGATTGAAATACATATTTGCTCTATTTATTATTAATAATCATCAATTATGTAAGAAAATATTGAAATTAAATTCATTTATGATCCTTTTCTTCAAGTACTTCTAGTATTTATAATCTTGGTAATAATAATAATAATCAAGATAATAATGATCTATTTATAATCACAATGTCATGGATACTCATGAATTGTAAATGATCTTCACTGAATGTTGCCTTTTATCTTCTTCTTCTTCTTCTTCTTCTCTTCTTCTTCTTCTTCTTCGTATGAAAAATAGTACAAACTCTTTATTCTGATTGGTTAATTTTATCGTTATCTCAATGAAAATAATATTAGGAAAAATCAATAAAATAAAGGTAAGTAACCAATGAGAATTGAGTTAATCTACTTTTTTTATTAGTCTCATCAACTGTTTCAAATGTATCGGTAGTTATTAAAATGGATATTATTGGTCAGACGATGTTTGAGCAAATGTTAAAATGACCTTGAAAATATCCACCCACGTATTAGGATTAAATGACGGTTATAAATCAGTGTGAGGAATTATAATGTTGATTGAGATCATAAAGCGATTGGTGTTAGACCGCCATTGAAAATCTGAAAGCACTGGACGACCGTTTCATCCTAGTATAGGACTTCTCAGCAGTGCGCATTCACGATTCCTCCGGCGGGATTCGAACTCAGGGTTTTCGGTCTAGTGTGCGAACGCATAACCTTTAGACTATTGAGCTAGCATCCAAAGGTATTAATGTCTAACCTCAACCAGTCCACAAAATTGTGCGATCATCAACACCGTTGGATGCCGAATTAGTGGTCTAGTAGGTTGAGCGTTCGCATGCGAGACTGAAGGCTCTGGATTCGAATCCTGCTAGTGGGATTATGGATGCGCACTGCTAAAGAGTCCTGCAATGTTATGAAATGGCCGTCCAGTGCTTCCAGGTTTTCAATGGCGGTCTAACATCAATCGATTCATAATCTCAATCAAGAACTTTACAATCTCCACAACCTCTAAACTGATAATTACCATCTGCTCACTAGTGACTAGCTTTGTGAGAAAATTCTCGAAGTTCTGATGAAAAGCCGTGACCAGTGGAGCTAATCCGTGCCGGATAGAAACAGGTGTTTACCTCAGTACAATGGAAGATGGTCATGCAACTTCGTGGATCGGTTAAGGTTAGAAATTAACGCCACTGGATGCCGGCTCAGCGGTCCAGTAGGTTAAGCAGTCACGCGCGAGACTGAAAGCCCTCGGTCCGAAACCCACGATCAGGGTCATGGATGCGCACTGCTGAGCAGTCCCACAATAGGACGAAACGGCCTTCCAGTGCTTCCAGGTTCTCAATGGTGCTTTAACATCAATCGCTTCATGATCTCAACAACCCTATACTGGTAATTATAATTTTTGTTCACAGTTGATGTTTAGGGTTGGGAATTCGATTTAAAGTTTCCATCACGAACTGACATCAGCTATAATGCCGAAATAATATTTAGCCGGATGAGTGGATGAATTTTGTTTTAAAATCCAAAATCCTTTATCTTAATTCTGATTGGTCCGTTCATAAATTATAATCCCGGTTGGAACAAGGGACAAACAGATTAAACGATTGAAGTATTTTTATATCATGAATTGACTACTGTAGATAGTGAAACAAATCCAAATGTTATTCAATAAAAATAAAGAGAATTCGACGGAGAGAATTTTCTTTTCGACAAAATCATTTATAAATATCGAATTAAAAAGAAGGTATGGTTGTTGAAATCTTGAATAAACGGATTTCAAAATCCTTAAATAAAATATTCTATTCCGCTAAACTTCGTATTGTTTTCTCAAACTGGCCTACTATTCACCGATGTGTTAAGGATAAACTTCCACTTTGGGCCATATCAATCTGCATCTATAAATTTACTTGCTCATATGGGGCAGGTTACATTGGCCGCATAAAGTGATCACTTTCTAAAAGCATCTAAGAACACTACCCGACATAGCTTTTAAAAGGAGAACGCCAAGACAATTACCAGCTCAATATAAGTAGTATTTAATCAACTCCGAACATATCTCTCCGAAGGAGTCTTTTTTTTAGAAAAAATAATCTACACAGTCAAAGGATTTGGATCGAAGGGAAGTCGAATAAAAATCTTGTGAACTGTTGAGGCATTGGCGATCCATAAACTCAAGCCCCAGCTTTGAGTGCAAAAGAGATACATCCAACCTCTCATCCTTTGCTAGTTCTAATTCCCTTTTGTAGTATGTTCCAGTTAATATTATTGTTATTATTATTATATGATTATTATGATTATTATTATTATTATTATTATTATTATTATATTATTATAAAACGTAGAGCTAGTATTTTGGTTCGACATTAGGACTTTTACATATAGGGAATAAGTACAGAAAATTTATTAGTTTCCGTTTCAGATGATAGGCAAAAAAACACTAAACGACATTACATGTAACTCATAAGTTTATTCAGTTACTTTGAGAAAAACTACATGTCATTAATTAGATAATAAGGAATTCATGAACTATAATGTTTAATAAACAGAGATGGATGGTGGCTAGCAGTGGAATACAGGAAACTTGTTTCGTCTAATCTTGGGACTCGTCCGCTGGATGTACCTGCATCCGAGTTGATGTTCAACCTGGGACTCGAACCCAGTGCCGTTCGCTTCAGACGCCATCAACTCTATAGTGCAGGTACACCCAGCTAACGAGTTCTAAAATAAGACGAAACACGCGTCCTGTATTCCACTGCTAGCCACCATTCGTCTCTGCTTATAATGCTTGTGACTTAAAACAATATCGAGGCAATCTGCACAGGATGTAAATATGCCATTAAGGGTCTGATCAACTGAAATCCTAAACATCAATGGGAAGATTCAAGCAAACAATATCAGATGAATCTTCAAATGTCGTTTAAAATCATGTCGAGTATGTTACCTTTATTTCAAGTGCAAACACTGCAGTTGTTTTTGAGTGATTATCCATTGAAAAGCTGCAGTTATATCTGCTTTTTTGAAAATCGTATTAGATTACAAACATAGCATAATATCAGTAAATACAATTTTATACAATTCTAGGGACTGTTTATTGAAGTTAGCAGGGAAATGTCTAGCACTGTTGGTCAAGCTCCAAGTCCGCGAAATATTTCGGTCGAAGTAAGTGGACGGTTCAGTCGGATGATTCTGAATAATCTCTTCTTGTTTCGGGATTATTTCCAGAGGAAATTTAATGAATTTCAACGCGCATATACGCTATTTTATTATGGATACAAATCACATCGAGTAGCAGCATGTTTTTTGTTTTAATATACTAAGAAAGCTAAAGTATATTCCTTTGCTACGGTTTACCGCGTTGACCTAATGACGAAAATTTCCATTGTCCAGTATTCGGAATTTACGCTTCTTATCTCAGTTAGTACTTTACAGAAGCTATCAGTTAATGATCCCACTCATACTGATGAATCTACCAATGTAAACAGGAAAAACAACTCGAGTTTATAATGTATTTACTTATTCAGATAGGGTAACAACTAACACCATGTACTTGAAATTAACCGCCCGGTAGTGAACAATGTTGTTTATTCTACAGTAAACTGCAAGGATTCATACACATTCCCCCATCTGGACTTGTGATAAAAGATGAAAACAACAAGCTTATTGATCGTCGACGGTTCGATCTTCTTTTAGTGCGGAAATCTACATTGAACTGACTATTTTTGACAACTGAAAACCTTCAAGTGAATACAGATGCTATTTAGAGGAAATGATGTAACAATAGAACGTATACTTTGCAGTTGTCGAAAATCATAGTTTATGCCTCTAATAAACGCTTCACAAATGAATATTTATCGAATGGATAAACTGGATAAAACAGATGATCATCACCATCCAATTGTCCATTTTCAAAACACATGAAGTTGCTATTATTGAGCAGCACATCTGGAAGGCATCTACAGGAGAAGAGTATATAGTATGACAATAATTTACCTCAAAGATGCATCAGTGTGTACTGAGTAATCATCTATTAAGCATCAGTATCCATTCGCATTACAAATTATATCTTGGAGTTGTTTAGGGCTCAGACGTAATAAGTAAAGATGCTATTAGCTGAAGTAAAACCTATGATTTATGATATTTCTATACACTGACTTTCTAACCGCTGCCTATTGCTAAGACATCGTCTAAACTTGAGCCCCAATCAGAAAAAAATGTGGAGAGTATGTAAAGAAGTTTTGCTTACCACCTCACGTGAGATACATAAAGCAAGGATATTTATAAGTTTATGCGTGAACGTTTTAGTCTAGAGTCAGTCATTCGTCTACAACGTAGGACCAGGCACATATATGCATCGGCCCAAGTTGCCATAACTCATTAAAGCAACAAGATGAACACCGGATTCGTAAAAGTAGTTAATTCAGAGGTGGTAATATACAAAAAAAGATTGCAATAAGGATATAGTACAGGAAAAAAGAATTAGTTCGTAGAAAGAAAGATATGAAGCAATTTTAATCTCACGGTTTAAGGGAACACAGAGAGTGTATACACCGACGCCATTGTGATCGATTCTGAGCCGTGTTACCAAGAGTCTCCAACCATTGGTCACGACAGTCACGCGGACCCCAACCAAGTAGTCTGCATCTACCAACATGGCTCAGACTAGAAGTTAGTGACTTCAAGCACTGATGCCACGTTTTGGTTTGGCCGCCCCTAACTTCTTCCAACCATCTCCAACACCGGTTAGCATTGCACGTCGTGGTAATCGGTGTTCAGGCATACGTAACACGTGGCCCAACCATCTCAGTCGATGAAGATTCATAACCTCATCAACTGATTTACCATCATTACCTAATACCCTGCGTCTAACCTCACTATTACTTACCCAGTGATCCCAGCAGACGCCCGCAATATTTCTAAGGCATCCGTGGTCAAATACTAATAGCTTACGAGTATCTTCTACTCTTAATGGCCATGTTTCGCTGCCGTAAATTAAAACAGAACGGACTGCCGCGCAGT